AGGCAGTAAAAGTATCGACCCAAATGTGCAGGTTTCGTTTTAATATTCTGCAATCCATTTTTAGTATTACCCGGTGGCCCGGCCCGGCCCGGCCCGACTTTTAGGCCATCCCGTTTATAGCCCCGCGTATCAAGCGCAGTAGTAGGCAATTAGCAAACGCGTCCACGCCAACCTTAAACTAATTAATCAAAGATGAAGCTAGCGAGCTGTGTCGGCTCCTTGGTCAAGCACAGATAAATAGTCCCATCCCAGCAGGAGCATATCTACCACCAACTAAGTCGTAATCGAAAATCAACTTTTGTTGAACAAGATCGAGATTACCATCATGCCATCCTCTTTGTCCTGTCGTAAATGCCATGGTCAGATATTTTGTTAAGCAGCTGGCGCAAGCTGACCGTGGTTACACCACAAAGGAAATCAAGCCTTGTTAGGTAATCATCTTCTTACCACCTACCTCGTGTAGTATACTTTGTCAGCATAGAGTAGATAACGCATATGGAAACTTCAACTTTATAGAAATTTGATAATGACAAACGAGTAGAGCTGTGGGGTATAAAATCCTGGGTTCTTCCATATCAGGCACACTTGCTTGAATAAACCCTGGATCTCATAGCTCTGGCTCCTTTCTTGTTTCAAGGTAAGAAACATTTAAACTTTAGTCTTGTTTAACTTGTTATTTATTTTGTAATTATCGTCTAGAAAATGTTAGAGTTAGGTTAGAAACATTCCTACAACATTGAAGCACTTTGTCATTGCAAATGCTAGTTCTAGATAACCGATTAATTATTAGGCACTACCCAGGGATATTTATGTATGCACATTGGGTCGTGGGCTCCTCAAGTTTATGTTTTTCATGTACAAACGAATAGTTCTTTTCTATGTTTTGACACACATGTGTGTATTCCCAGCCTTTGTCTTGTTTTATTCATTTGCGTGTTAGTTCTGTATATGCAGGTTAGATTCTCGTTCAGTAGTCTAGATTCTAGTAGCTTAGTCACAAAAACAGTTCCGAGAGTTTATACAATCAATTCCAGCAAAGACGAAGTTTATGTATTTTACTATAGTCAGCCGATCAAATGATATTCGTGTAGATTTACCTCAGATACGCGCTCACATGATAGGTATAACAGCCAACATTTGTATTTTGACATTTCACCAACACTATAATAATTTGAATGATGATGTATTAAAAGTTCCGTTCCGCGTGCAGTTGAATACCGTACAAAACAGTTTATACGCGAATCACATTACCGTAATCAGTAGAAAATGGTATTGTCTACTCTTCATATTATCAGAAAATATACATTCAAATCCATGTAATTGCAAGTACAGTCTTCGTTCCGTATTTAGTTAGCTCCGTAATTTAAGAAATACGCGTAGTCAACGACAACAGCGCCATCCTAGTACATTATTACATATTCATTTAACTAGGTTACTGTCTTGTTTGGTAAAGCACAAAAATGTAGCACTACAGCATTACGTATATTCTAGGTCATGGCTTAACTCCGTTTATGTCGAAATTACACGTTGCCAATAGCAACACCACCGTCGAAATACACTTACCGTAGTCACCCAAATAATTCGTGATAAAACAAGCTTAAGTAGTAGTACTCTAACTAAAACTAGGCCTTCTGTATCCGTATTTACAACACTTTTATATCTCTTTAATATCCCTTACCGTATCTACTGAAATTATTGTATTGAGAAAATATATGTTAACATTACAGTTAGAATGCATACAGTCAATACCGGAGTTAAATCGTATATGTCAAATCTGAGCACTTCGCGCCGCTTACCGTATTTGCTCAAGGCATGTATGACCCTAGTCATAAATCCTTACTTACCGTGGTTAATGCATTAAGCGCGACATAACGTAATAGTCATAAAATCTGCACAACAGTTAATGAACTAGGCACTACATGCTGTAATTAAACTGTCGGGCGCTCCACTCAGTACTTGTTCCTTGCAATTGTTGTTTAGGATTCATTTATCCGTCAGGTTATGTTGTTAATCAGTACCGTAGTTGCTCAAGTAAATATTGTATTATTTGCATTATGTTTCTGTAAGCAGTTACCGTACATACCCTGTTGTACCATACATTGCTTCAACTACCCGACTTAGATATAAACTGTATTAGGATATAATTGGTTATTATTTCTATTATTGTATGTCATTATTATGTATGAATTGATGTATATTGAATGTCATGCAACACACTTGCTTGAATAAACCCTAGATCTCACAGCACTGGCTCCTTTCTTGTTTCAAGGTTTCAAGGCTTGCTCCCTATAGCTAATTCCCCAAATCGAGGCCTGACAGCACCTTTAGTACACCTAGCGCTAAAGGTCGTCCTTCAACGGACATAAACAAAAGCTGTCTTAATATATTGGCAAGGACAGGATTTCTGACTATTATGTCTAGGGTCGTCGACCCTGATCAAATTATTTATTTCAGTGGCATCTTACGACAATAATATGTCACCGAATCAATCATGGAAATCCCACAAATTTCAGCTGGGAGACGAAAAAACACGCCACGATGACAGATTAAAAGAAGTGTAAGATACGCTTGGAAATGGTACTGGTAACTCCATGAACTGAGCACAGAATACATTTACTTAACAAATACACACTCATGATATAGTCAGAATTGTACAATTGACCCTGCCGTTGGGAGAGAGATTTCTTATGAATGTGGAAAGGGCATTGTCATTTCTATTTAAAAGAATTTTGGACATTGGATACCTTTTGTGATATTGCGAATGTTGTTAAAAGCGGCATAAAACCATCCTCATTCACTCAAGTGAGTGAATGAGTTGAGTTTTACACCGCACTCAGCAATATTCTAGCTGTATGGCCGCGGTCTATAAATAATCGAGTCTGGACCAGACAATCCAGTGATCAACGGCATGAGCATCGATCTGCGCAATTGGGATACGATGACATGTCAGCGAGCCTGACCACCCGATCCCTTTACTCGCCTATTACGACAAGCATGGGTCACTGAAGATCAATTCTAACCCGGTTATTCAGGCGTCCATTCACTCAAGACGTTTGGTAGACATTTTATATATTTACTTTTCGAACTCTCGTAGAGTTGTCGCGTGTAGTATCTGCAAGAAGTATTAGTAACATATGTGAATATACACTATTGGATATGATTTGATGTTTATCACCGTACTCGGCAATATTCCGGCTATGTTGTGACGCGGTCTGAGAACAAACGAGTATCAACTCTGGAGCTGTCTGGTTTTCAATGTATTGTATTTTGTCTTAAACAGGATAGCAAACATATAACTATACAATGAGAAACGTTGACTGAGACCTGAACCGCGATTGTGGTGAATATATCATATGGAACATTCTTGCATCCAACCATGCTTACATGTAGTCTCCAAATATTGGCGAACAAAGACATCCGTTAATTAAAAGGCCATGAACCGTCCCTACTACCTGGGCAATGAAAGGTAATAATTACACATGTAATACCGTGCAGAGAGACCTGTGACTGTCCACGTTAAATGGTCAAATATTTCCGGCTACTGCTACACTGCAATTGATGATGGAAGGCTTTATCCTAAACGATGATGGATGTTGTAACCTGTTGATTTAATATATCACTGAATACCATAAACGTATTTGTGTTCTATTTTACTGGTTTAATGGGGACTCACAAGCCTTTTATCTCAGTAATTTCTATACCGTAATAATATGTATAAACTATTATTATTGATGAGAAAATTACTGTCTAATCTGTTCTTCCGCATACAGGAGTCAAAACAATAACATGGAATAGAATTAGGATTCGTAACTTTGTACTTCTATGCCAGGTACAGATCAATATCAGTCAAAGAAAAAATACAAATCTGAAAAGTCCCTAATAGTCAAAGGTGGCAGTTGACAACTAGGTTGTTTTTTTGTTTTTTGCATTTTCCATAAAAAAGTACTCTTTAGTGATGGTGCTGACAAACACAATACTTCGTACAGAGTATTAATCACGCAAAACATAATAGTGAGTGAGTGAGTTACGATTTATAGTCACATCGACAATATTTAACAAATTATTAGTTCATAAAAAATGCAATTAAATTATTTAAAAAACTGTCGACGATGGACAGAAAAGTAACTAGATAATCACAGATAGATAATTAAAACTAGCATGAATCTGTAAAATTGAACAAATTTTGTGAGCAATACGATATATAAAAAGACCGCCTCCGTGGTGTAGTGGTTAGAGCGTCCGCCCGGAGAGCAGAAGGTCGCGGGTTCGATCACCAACCGCATCATACCAAAAGACGTTAAAATACGGTACTTGTTGGTCCCTGCCAGGCGCCCGGCATTAATGGGTACAACAAGGACTGGTCGGCTTGGAGTCAGTATAAATATGTCAATGTCCCCTATTGGACCCGGTTTGTTCGTTGTTTAACGCCGCTATGTTGTGACGGTCTGTGAACAAACGAGTATCGACTCTGGAGCTGTGATTGGTCTGGTTTTAAATGTATTCTGTTGTATCTCGTCTTAAACAGGATAGGAAACATATACCGATATAAGGAGAAACTTTGATTGTGACCAGGAATGTGACTGTTGTGGAATCATTTTCTAAAGCAGTTAATCATGGAGATGGAACATCATTGCGTCAAACCATCCTTACATGCAGTTCGCAGATATTGGTCACAAACCATCCTTACATGTAGTTCGCAGATGTTTAATTGGTCCGTTAAGGAAAGGTCACAAACCATCCCTACTTCATGGACAAAGAAAGCTAATTATTACATATATATGTAACTTCTAGCAGAGAGAATCGGGACTGTCCACGTTAAATGGTCAAGTATTTTCGGCTTTGGTGATGCTGTGGGTGCACGTGGTGTTTATTGTGCAATGCCGGATGCTGCTGCTAGACTGTATTCGATGGCGGAAGGCTCTACCCAAGAGCAATGATGGATGTTGTAACCCTGGGTACCTTTGAAAAGTGATAATTATATTTTTCAATATTTGTCATACCTGGGAGAAATCCCACCTCAACGTCGGGGTCACGTTGACCTGAAGACCAGATAGGAAGTGAGATGTATTAATTCAGGTTATCTGTTCTATGTTCATGTGTCATGGCTGCTCTGAAGTATAAACCAAAACAATGCAACAACAAAATTAGGGCAATCAATATTTTTTGTTAAGGACAGGATTTCCCGCTGTGATGTTTTGGGGCATGTATGCATTTGTTAAGGCAAATGTGTAGGTTATTGTATAACATGTTAAGTTATATGATCACGGCAACACGTAACACCCAACAGGTCGGGGATATCAGAACATACCAAACATACATAAACATACCAAGGAAGGCAACTCAGAAAGTCGCCGACCCTGATCAAATGATAATTTTTGGTGGCATCTTACGGCAATAATATGTCACCAAAATTATAATGGAAAAATCCGACAGATCTTAACTGGGTGACTTAAACACACAATGTGATGATAGATTAACAGAGCTGTACTCTATACACTTGAACTACCTATTGGAATTAGTATTGGTAACTCTATGGAATGAGTACAGAATAGATTTACTTACTTTCCTCCTTCTTCTTCTTCTTCTTCTTCTTCTTCTTTCTGTGCCTAAAATACAGAAATGAACAGTTACTCATACAATCAATATTATCACATGTAAACTCTTTCGGGACACTTTTCTTTGCAAACAGTATTGTACATGTAAGCCTCCGCAAGTCAGTGAGCCTCCAGATAACTGAGATGAGGTTTTGTAAACTAGCTCAACAATGAACGAGAGTAACTGACAATACTACATCATCTTCGACTGCACTATTTGTAACAAGCAGCTTGCCACCCTATTTACAGGCATGCCACTATGAATCATGTTTGGTGATTAAGATTGAATCACATAATTATTCAATCGACATATAAGTGTATCAAATAAACTACAGTTTGTGTAACTCTTTGTTCGTGTACGGTATAATTATTACAAGTAGAAACGTGTCGGACTGTCCGAGCAGCCATGTTGGTCTATTCCGAACCAACTGTGTCTCATAACAATTAGCAGTGGATGAAGTGTCATTACTTGGCCGAGTGGTCATTTGTTTTCTACGTGAAAAGGAAGTTAATAAACTCTCTAATCGTTCCTGTTAAAGCAATATGCATATTAGAGTCACATGATCGATTGTCCAGTATTTGTTGTATATGCTAACAATTCCAGGCAGTATTGGGAATGAACGAATGGACTTCGATATATTGAAATTATATCACGGATGTAAACGAACACAAAGTATGGCACCAAATGGTAAATAGGGCAAGAAGGTAACATTTGTTATTTGATTGGTTGCTTACATGCTGCTCAGGATAACGCTGTTTAATCGGGTACTGTTCAAAGCCTGTCAAAAGCTACAAACGTGATTTTACATCGTCATGAGTTTGTGAAAAAAACCAATATATGTGTACAAATATATATTGTTAAACATACCTTTCTTGCTAGAATATATGATAAATACTTTTCACCATTTACTTTATTACATTACGGACGATCGATCGAGGTTTTTGCACATAATATTTGTCAAATTTTCAAAAGGTACAAACGTACTTTGGTGAACAATTACTAAATTGAAACAATTTACAAATACTTTACTGTCTCCTGCATAACTGGTTGATCTGCAGAACTTGTTACGGGATCGATCATATAACTGATGAGTAAGTCGGTTAGTGAAGATCAATTCTAACCCGGAACAGCACGGGTTATAACTGATGAAGCGTGGATGAGGATGTATTTTCTTTCATGATGCGAGGGAGTAATAACGCATGGAATTACTTATTTCAACATGAACAGTGCTGATTATAACTGCGGTCGTGCAAAATATTTTATTTTCTCTGCATAATATGACCAAAAAAACACTATTATTGATGACAAACAAATGTTTGGCCTTTTGTGGCCATTGGGTATTGGCTAACATTGACTTACGTAACTGAAATTTCATAAATATTTGTTTTAATGCCTGAAACATTCAGAAGAATGCACATGGGAAGCGAAAGCACTCTCATCTAGGTATCAAAACCGTGGGATTAATGGTCACGGTCAAACGTGTCAAAAGCTTATGGCATGCCCCAACCAACTTGTTATAGAAGTTTACAGAACAACTTATATTTGGAGTTGCTGTCTCCACTTTGTTCCTAATTAGCTTAGGAGTACGACATAGCTGGGACCATGTGAGGTGACCCATGATGAAATAATGACAGTGCTTTACAGCAGGACACGTTTCAGCGTTGACGACTCTTGCTATGTTGTTCATGTGATACAGTTTTGTTTAACCGGACATGTGCTGCATTTCCTTGGCTTAAACCTAAAGCAGACTAAGTGTATATATCGGATGTGCAAGTAGGGCTTTGTTCTGCCATATGTTGATATCAAGGCAATTCTGCAAGACTAATGTAAAATAGAGACACCATTATCGTGTTTTATGTTTCGTCCCATCTTGATTTTAAAGCCAGCGAGACTTGTTCGGTAAAGGACATCAGGGCGAACCTGTGAGGTGCTACTGTTGTTTGTACTGTACAATCAATGTATTGCCAAAAAAGTCATGCATTAGAAGGGTTTTTTTTAGAAAGAGCTCAAGGTATCCCGGATTTGGACAGACTGTTGGCTTAGATCTCCCATTGCCCATACATACATTAGACGTATAAGAGGCAATGTCCATTGTTTGTCTTTTGTGTTTCTTTCTTGTCTTTGCGTTGTTATTTCTAAGTTAAACAATAGTCTTGCTGAAGGAGGAAGTTTCGCAGTCAAGCCATGTTCATAGAAGGCAAGTGTCACGATCAGCAGTTTGAGAAAACATTACGGTAATAGCCGACACTGCTCTAATAATGATTTATTACGCTTAAAATGCCCAAACTTTTCTGCACGTTCTGTACGAAAGAAGACATTGGAAAAGCATGTGGATTCAGGTGGTGTATTTCAATGGAAGAAACCACAGTACACGTACTTTGGCAGACAAATGATACATCGTTCCGGTATTAAACATTTACAATATTGTAACCCACGTCTGACTTTGTAGACACTTGACGATGCGGGTAAGAACTGGTCTTCAGCAACCAATGCTTGTCGTTAGAGGCGACTAACGGGATCGGATGGTCAGGCTTGCGGACTTGCTTGACACATGTCATCGTGTCCCAATTGCGTAGATCTATGTTCACGATGTTGACCACTGGATTGCCTGGTCCAAATATTTACAGACCACCACCATACTGCTGGAATGTGGCTGCGTGCGACGTAAATTAAACCAAAACAACCGGCCAAGAAACGTCTGATATTCTATTTATATATTTGGTCAAATGCACTCATCGTCCGTTTGGCTCAAAAGCGGACCGATGAATTGCAATCTAACTCGAAAACTACTACACATATAATACTCAATGAAACATTGATCATAATCAAAACATCATACCCATTCTGTGATTTGTTTGCAGAATATAAGTCCTAAAATTATAAAAAGTTGTTTAACAACCTGTCATTAAAAGTTTGACACAGTTCACTATTTGTTACGAGGGAGGAATGCAGAGAAAGGGACAGCCAGGTGTTCGAGAAGCACGTGCACAAGTGCCGACAAAGTTATTGATTCATTAACCTGTAACATTGCCGTCTCCATCCTTTCTCGCACACCTGACTGTCCCTTTCTCTGCACTCCTCCCTCGTAACAAATAGTGAACTGTGTCAATATTTTAATGATAGTTTGTTAAACAACTTTTTATTTTTGGGACATAAATTCTGCAAAACCTCACAGAGTTGGTCCGACGTTTTGATCACGATCAGTGTTTCATTGAGTATCTCTGTTTATTAGTTTCGAGTTAGAATGCAATCATCGGTCCACTCACTTGAGCCAAACGGACTATAACTCTATAAGAGTGGTTCCCACTTGAATATTTCTCCACCATCAATAATGTTTAATGAAAACATAATGTTTCAGGAACTTTTACTCATCAATAACTCCTCTTGGCATCAACTGTAGTATGTGTTCTTTTATTGATCTTCGAGACTACAGAACCACCAAATGATACTCCCACCAAGACTTCACTCTTCAGGGGCATGTCACAATAAACTGCTCATCATTGCAAGTAATATAAATCGTCAGTATTGTTTTAGTTGAGCTGTTATTTTTCACATGTTCTTTTCATGTGACGCAGCTCGAAATAGATTTGTCATTTCAATGCGTCGCTGTCGGCGCATAATAAATATTGTCTCGTGCAGATCTTGTTAGAAATTGGTATTCAGTAACCCGTGCCAGTCAAGATGGGGATCGGGTGGTCCACCTGGCTTGGTGACGCTGTCACCACATCACAATTGTGTGTGTCGATGATCATGACATGAATAAAGGACGATTATTTAAGGCCATTCTCATATAACTGGAGTTCTTCTGGTGTATGATGTTAAAAGACAGGCAAGCAACACCAAGCCAAGCTATTCTTTGAGATTTTACGAATTCATTAATTTTATTTCGATAAATACCGTACAGTACAATTACTGTGGCGATGACCTGGGTTTCAACTTGGTTCACGCATGATGTGTTTAGTTTATTGTGGTCACGGTTTATTCACTGTCGCAGATCGTGCACTGATCTATCGGGGGTACTCCACATTGTGTATTTCCCTCTTGATCAATCATGTTTAATGAAAACCGAGTGTTCTGGATATTTTCCAGTTACTAATTCATCTTCATATCCTCTGTCACAAGTGGTGACCCCAAGGATCCCCCCATCAAGGCACACAGGTCACTCTTATCCTCGACCAGAGAGGCACACAGGTCACTCTTATCCTCGACCAGAGAGGCACACAGGTCACTCTTATCCTCGACCAGAGAGGCACACAGGTCACTCTTATCCTCGACCAGAGAGGCACACAGGTCACTCTTATCCTCGACCAGAGAGGCACACAGGTCAGGCTCTTATCCTCGACCAGAGAGGCACACAGGTCACTCTTATCCTCGACCAGAGAGGCACACAGGTCACTCTTATCCTCGACCAGAGAGGCACACAGGTCACTCTTATCCTCGACCAGAGAGGCACACAGGTCACTCTTATCCTCGACCAGAGAGGCACACAGGTCACTCTTATCCTCGACCAGAGAGGCACACAGGTCACTCTTATCCTCGACCAGAGAGGCACAAAGGTCACTCTTATCCTCGACCAGAGAGGCACACAGGTCACTCTTATCCTCGACCAGAGAGGCACACAGGTCACTCTTATCCTCGACCGGAGAGGCACACAGGTCACTCTTATCCTCGACCAGAGAGGCACACAGGTCACTCTTATCCTCGACCAGAGAGGCACACAGGTCACTCTTATCCTCGACCAGAGAGGCACACAGGTCACTCTTATCCTCGACCAGAGAGGCACACAGGTCACTCTTATCCTCGACCAGAGAGGCACACAGGTCACTCTTATCCTCGACCAGAGAGGCACACAGGTCACTCTTATCCTCGACCAGAGAGGCACACAGGTCACTCTTATCCTCGACCAGAGAGGCACACAGGTCACTCTTATCCTCGACCAGAGAGGCACACAGGTCACTCTTATCCTCGACCAGAGAGGCACACAGGTCACTCTTATCCTCGACCAGAGAGGCACACAGGTCACTCTTATCCTCGACCAGAGAGGCACACAGGTCACTCTTATCCTCGACCAGAGAGGCACACAGGTCACTCTTATCCTCGACCAGAGAGGCACACAGGTCACTCTTATCCTCGACCAGAGAGGGCACACAGGTCACTCTTATCCTCGACCAGAGAGGCACACAGGTCACTCTTATCCTCGACCAGAGAGGCACACAGGTCACTCTTATCCTCGACCAGAGAGGCACACAGGTCACTCTTATCCTCGACCAGAGAGGCACACAGGTCACTCTTATCCTCGACCAGAGAGGCACACAGGTCACTCTTATCCTCGACCAGAGAGGCACACAGGTCACTCTTATCCTCGACCAGAGAGGCACACAGGTCACTCTTATCCTCGACCAGAGAGGCACACAGGTCACTCTTATCCTCGACCAGAGAGGCACACAGGTCACTCTTATCCTCTACCAGAGGCACACAGGTCACTCTTATCCTCGACCAGAGAGGCACACAGGTCACTCTTATCCTCGACCAGAGAGGCACACAGGTCACTCTTATCCTCGACCAGAGAGGCACACAGGTCACTCTTATCCTCGACCAGAGAGGCACACAGGTCACTCTTATCCTCGACCAGAGAGGCACACAGGTCACTCTTATCCTCGACCAGAGAGGCACACAGGTCACTCTTATCCTCGACCAGAGAGGCACACAGGTCACTCTTATCCTCGACCAGAGAGGCACACAGGTCACTCTTATCCTCGACCAGAGAGGCACACAGGTCACTCTTATCCTCGACCAGAGAGGCACACAGGTCACTCTTATCCTCGACCAGAGAGGCACACAGGTCACTCTTATCCTCGACCAGAGAGGCACACAGGTCACTCTTATCCTCGACCAGAGAGGCACACAGGTCACTCTTATCCTCGACCAGAGAGGCACACAGGTCACTCTTATCCTCGACCAGAGAGGCACACAGGTCACTCTTATCCTCGACCAGAGGAGGCACACAGGTCACTCTTATCCTCGACCAGAGAGGCACACAGGTCACTCTTATCCTCGACCAGAGAGGCACACAGGTCACTCTTATCCTCGACCAGAGAGGCACACAGGTCACTCTTATCCTCGACCAGAGAGGCACACAGGTCACTCTTATCCTCGACCAGAGAGGCACACAGGTCCTCTTATCCTCGACCAGAGAGGCACACAGGTCACTCTTATCCTCGACCAGAGAGGAGGCACACAGGTCACTCTTATCCTCGACCAGAGAGGCACACAGGTCACTCTTATCCTCGACCAGAGAGGCACACAGGTCACTCTTATCCTCGACCAGAGAGGCACAGGTCACTCTTATCCTCGACCAGAGAGGCACACAGGTCACTCTTATCCTCGACCAGAGAGGCACACAGGTCACTCTTATCCTCGACCAGAGAGGCACACAGGTCACTCTTATCCTCGACCAGAGAGGCACACAGGTCACTCTTATCCTCGACCAGAGAGGCACACAGGTCACTCTTATCCTCGACCAGAGAGGCACATCACAATGATTGTTAAATCAAGCGGGATTTCCGGTTCCAGTCTGTATTTTGTCCCGATTAATGGGATCGGCAGGTTGATATGGCTGATGCTGTCACTCTGTGCCTGTTGTGTGGATCAATGTCCATGATATGGATTGTCTGGTTGACTGTCAATTATTATTACTCGCCCGTGGAAGATAATGTAGTGTACTATTTCTACGGCAATATTACACTAGTGTAATATCGCCAGACGTATGACATCATAGTTATGAGTGAGTGAGTGAGTATGGTTTTACGCCGCTTTTAGCAATATTCCAGCAACATCACGGCGGGGGACACCAGAAATGGGCTTCACACATTGTACCCATGTAGGGAATCGAACCCGGGCCTTCGGCGTGACGAGCAAACGCTTTAACCACTAGGCTACCCCACCGCCCCCTCATAGTTATGACGTCACACTGCTATTACCTCTATCACAGTGGTATTGAACCTTGCTGAGAGCCATCCCACTGTAGGAAGATTCTATCACTTTATGTTTGAGAGTAATAGATAGAATACTAAATTCCGTTACGTGAAATACCATCTTTAATTAAACTCGTATAATAAATATGGTATTACACGGAAGGTCGTTTGGTACGTATCCTCTACCTATCTGATGGTGAATTAATTACAGGCTACTATCATAAAACTGGCATATTGCCAACTGGCGATAAACAGCAAATGAACAAAACAAGAGTTTGTTAGAACTTACCATATGAAGATAACCACTACGCCCACAAGGATAAGGACAAGTATTGCTACAACAACTGGAATGACGACCTGGGAACTGCTTGTCGGTACCACACCTGTGGTAACGGTTGTATGACTGCTAGAGGTAGTACCTGCATAATGATTTATAAACGCAGAATGAGAACTTATACATACAAAGTCGTCAACGTTGAATAACAAACAGAAGAGACGATAGCGGTTAAGCAGTTCCACACATCTTGGTAACATTTTATAAATGACACTCTGAAAATTGTATATCTATCAAAATATCATACAGTTTTTGAATTAAGTGTATCAAGGTAATATTGGAACGAGAATTTCACATTTATCATCGTTCACATTACATGTTCAGCTTTCTTTCGTTTGAATTAATGTAAAATTTTAAACTTATTTAACCTTGATGAACGATGGTAATCCCATTGTAAATCTCACAGAAGACGCCGATGTGATTTTCTATACAGCCCAGAGCACAGTGTCCATTGTGCATATTGCAGGTGTTTCCTAGGCAATGTTTGCTGCACGGTTCATCACACTGGTCACCGTACACACCCGCTTCGCATCCTTCGAAGCATTCTCCAGTTTCTTTGTGACAGCGCACTATGCCATTTGGAAGAGGTTTACAGTTTCGAGAACAACTTTTACTACAACCATCCCCATATTGTCCAGGCTCACATTCCTCTTCACCTTGAACAGTCAGACCTGAAATACGTTGACGGCGATTTACATTTCAAGTGTTGTCAAAGCACCGATGACATACACCTTAAGACATATACTTCAATGTCAGGACAATTACGCCAGAAATGAGAACGTAAAAGAATTCAGTGTGAAACCATCAACAAACGATGAACTGTTTAACAATGAAGACATTGATATAAAGATTAACAAAATGTGTTAATTAATGCAGAGGAAGTGTAATAGTACGACAAGCGCTATAACAGTACACACAATGTCAGTATGACATAAAAACCTTGGTTATTTAAATAACCACAATGACGATAACATAAATATTCTTATAAGAACTTACACTTAGAAAAATAATGTAAAAAATTACTTAAATGGAAAAATTAACTTGCTAATGAACTTGAACACTTAATAAAAAATACAACTAAATGAAAATAGAATAATAATCCCAATCATTAACTCGTTTAATAAAAATGGTATTACACTTAAGGTCGTTTAGTATCCTCTATTTATTACTCACCCGTTGAAGATATCACTGTTTAATAATTTTACAATGTTATGATACATTGTGTAATAACATCACGTGGTGCCGTACGTATGGTGTAAAACTGATTTACAGTTATGACGTCACAATGCTAATACCCCTGTCACAATAGTACTAGACCTTGCTTGATTTCGTTGAATTCTCGCTTTCGCTCGTTAGATACCAATCCATTCACTCGTTCCATAAATATGGTATTACATGGGACATCGTTTATTCTACCATGACTTCAGAAAACACTGGATTGTGATGGTTAATTTAAGTCATTCAGAGGTATATAATCACGTTATACAGGTCTCTGATTTTCCGTGCGCAATTATACATGCACTATTTTTTGTCTGCCCACCAACATGGCGGACACTAAACAACCTACCGATGCATCGATAAATTACGGCGATTTTGCTGTTTGAAATAACACATTTGTCTATAAAGATAGATTTAGCAATGACGGGCTCGACTCACTTCTTGCGTAAATCACAGCAATAGATGTTTATACATACAAAAGTACTTCGAAAGCATGGAAACAAATATTCAGTCGAACAAGATAAAAACATCGACTGCTTTTCGAAGAAAAATATCCGGTAACGGAGGATGCATTAAAATCGAACGCCGAAGAAATTTTAATGCCTTCCGTCCACATAAATAAACAGTTGGGTTATCAATTCAAACAAAATGATAATTTTTTGAGAAATTTGTACGGTTTCAAATTTAGCTGTAGTAAAACACAATTACAGAATCTGCAAAATTCACTTAAAACCGTTCTGTTTATCCCAATATACGTTTTTCTAAAAATATAATATCGTTGAAAAAGTGATTTAGCTTAGTCATGATCCCTCTTATCCATTACACTGCTTGATCTGCTTGACGAAAACAAAACTTTGGATATATCGTAAAGGATATTCTAAAAGTCACATTCCGTGATTAAAATTGAACAAAAGGTTTGTAAAATAGCAATAAAAACACAAAAACGTACTCGTATTTCCGCCTATTACGGAAACACCAGACAGTGTATTAGCAGAGGGGGTATCACGTGACGTCATAAGTGCCTGCTGCTGATGGCTTTTTCTTTGATTTTACCTCACAACTTAATAGTGTCTGTGGATGCTGAAGCAGTAAAAGATGTTCCTGATGTCATTTCCTAAATGGATGTTAGACCGTATCAATACGATCCGATTTTACATCTTACAAGACAATCTTCCACTGAAGATGAAGAAGAAGAATCAAGCGAAATGGAGGCACCGCTTGAGGTCAAAATAAACTTATAAATAGACCATATAATTTAACAAGATTACTATTTGTCAGCAAAATGTCATACAGTTCCAGCCAGCAAACTCACCCCTATAAATATTTGACCAGTCACTAAGAATTATTTTTTAAAAAGTGATTACAGTTCATTTTGTGTCAAATGGGAGACTGTAGGGTGTATGGGATTTAAAAACAAAATAATTATGCTTCAGACGAGGGAAAATAAAACGGGAAATAGGAATCCTAGTTCTCATTAATAACGTATCAAGTCTCGATACAAGATCCCAGCCTGGTCGAGCAGAGATAATATTTGCGACGCAGATAAATTATTCCCCGAAAACTGGTGAATTATAAAATACTAGTCAGGAGAACGTATGTTTCCCCATTGTTTGGTTATGGAAATAGTTATGGTACTCGGTCATAACCTTAGAATGACATCTTGTCAGCCAATGAGAATACTTTCACGGCACACACTACTGACAAATAGCGAGTCTGATGACGACGTGCGTAATTTGATAAAATGGAAAGATATGAAAGCAACAAGTACTTCATGATTTGCCGTTGTATTCGGCGATGTTTCGAGTTGCCTGCATCATTTAGGGTCATGTGAAATCACTTACTGATTTTGATAATATATATCTCATGTGTGGCATTCGAACTGCCCCAGCTACAAAATGCCCCAGCAAATTTGGTCATTCATTCTAATTTGTTCAAATTAATATATAATGATTGAATATATGCCGTAAATGCATTGTTTTTGTCAACTTATTATGATATTATGTTCTTCATATAAAAGTTATTAGGAATAAATATTTCTGATAAATGTTTCATTAGTAAAATCATAACTATGTATATACTTATATACGAAGAACATAATATCAAAGTTGACAAAACTATGCATTTATGGCCTATATTTATTCATTTTAAATAAATTGGGGCATTTTGACTACATCACTGGGGCAATTTGACCAAATTTGCTGGGTCATTTTGTATCGGGGGCATTTCGACTGGCAATCGGACTTGATTTAATTTATGTTCAAAATACCACTGACAGTAAGTTGTTAAGGGAATGATGGAGTATAAATGAATCTCGTGGATACTTTTTCCTTCTTCAGCCTAGCTTGGGGATTTCCATACCCCATGCGTGCATGTCTCTTTCATATGCGTCAGACTCGGAATGATCGGCGCATTTCTCCTTCCGAAATCTGTTATTTCACTCGGAAAACGGAAGAAATGGTGGTTCTTTCCCATGTTCGATGATTCCGTGCATCCCCAGGCAACGCAATACACCATCGCACCATTTAAAAGAACGACAGAAACAACACGATTTGTACTACTGTAGCGCTTGGTCTTTGGCAATATGGCGGACTCCAGGCACATTTGACGTCATTAGCGGAAAGGTCACGTGGGTTCCAGGGAAATATGCATAATGGCCAAAGCTGACATTTACAGAAACTGTTTTCGCGATTGAAACATAATTATACATAATTTTTAATTGAAAATTTGAGAATATGTTTCTGATGACTTTATCTTTCACCCAGCAAATTATTGCAATTCACTCGTATTCTCCTTTAAAGTATAATCAATTACCTTACCGTGTTTACGCCAGAGGCACACCCTCATGTCCTGTTCCATCCTTTCGGAAATATCACCACAAATCTGGCTCTTTGTCAACAGCCTCGCTAACATGCCAGCGAATCCGATTCAATTTTAATCCACTACACTTTTAAGCAACTAGGTCACAAAACACTTTCCAAAATGTAGAAAATAATATCCGTAGAATCGCATTTGAGTGAGTGAGTGAGTTTTTTAGTTTTACGCCGCTTTTAGCAATATTCCAACAATATCACGGCGGGGGACACCAGAATCGAATTTGAGCACAAAGTACAAACATGAGTGTGTAAGAGTCACCACAGTGACTTTTCTGTCGCAGGCAGACGTAGAGGTGCGTGAAATCGTCATGTTGACAGGGCGCAAAATTCAACAGTTTCTAAATTCGGTTATTTGTTATTACTGAATCTGTTAGTTATTGACGGTTTGCCATCAATCACCCCGTTTCGGGCGATGCCACTTGAGACTGGAATGCGAGGCCGCTTCACGTATTGACTCGTAACTAAAGAAAGAGTTCCAACTGAACATGTTCATAAAATTGTCATGGTAGAATGGAGATAAACCTACTATGTGGGAAAATCAGAGGTATATAACGAAATAATAATAGCTCTAAATTTCATTTAAACCGAACGTAGCGACATTATAATAGCTCTAAAGTTCATTTAAAACCGAACGCGTTATATACCTCTGATTTTCCCACAAAGTAGGTTTATCTCCTAAGTATTCTCTATTTATTACTAGCTCCTGGAAGATACTGCAGTGTACTATTTTACGGCAATATTACACTAGTGTAATACCGGTAGACGCATGACGTCATAATGGTTTTACAGCTATGACATCAGAATGCGAATACCTCTGTCACAATGGTATTAGACCTTGCTTGTCTTGCTTGGAAAGCTAAGAGTGATCACACTGTAGGCAGTTTCTATCAATATATGTTGGAGAGTAATAAACAGGGTGCCTATTCTCGAAAGTGTCCCAGTTAAGACAGATCCTAACCAGTTAGGACAGTAGTTAGGACATCCTACCATTAGGGTAAGACCCATTCTCGAAACTATGATATTCCTGTCCTAACTTGAGCTACCGATCCTAGCTATGATAGCGAGCTCTTCAGTAGGTGAGATAGAAAAAGCTTGATTAAGTTGGGGATATCACTAAATATTTCACATGGTTCATTGCATGAAAAACATATATAACGGCAACAAGAATCTCATTTACAAGATAAATGGAAACACTAGAAAACAAAGTAAAGAACTCGAACGCGTATAAATTCAGCTTTTGGTGGACGTACTAGAGCTAGAAGAAATTGTAATTAATCACAGTTATAAGTAAAATTAATATCTTGTATCCAGAAAACTAGAGTGATCTCGTACTCGAATAGATTTAAAATATCTAATGATGTGTTTTAATATCTATATGTATTTGTTCAAATTAACTTACTTCCAGAAAAAGAGTTATAGTTTTATATATGCAATACTTTCATAACTTTATATTGATTCGTGAAGTTTTTAAGAATTCATGTACAAATGTATTCAACAAGGAGATAACACTTTTCTTCAGAGTCTGAAGGTCTGCCAAAACATAATACCATATGTGCAAAACATATTTTCATTTAATGTGT